AAATGTCTGTTCATGTCTTCTGCCCATTTTTAAATTGGATTATTTTTGGGGGGGTGGTAAGTTGTATGAGTTCTTTATATATTTTGGATACTAACCCTTTATTGTTTATGTCATTTGCAAATATCTTCTCCCATTCACTAGGTTGCCTTTTACTTTTGTTGATTGTTTCCTTTGATGTGCAGAAGCTTTTTATTTTGATGTAGTCCCAATGGTTTATTTTTGCTTTTGTTTTCCTTGCCTCAGGAGACATATCTGGAAAAATGTTGCTATGGCCCATGTCAGAGAAATTCCTGCCTGTGCTCTGTTCTAGGATTTTTACGTTTTCAGGCCTCACACTGAGGTCTTTAATCCATTTTGAATTTATTTTTGTGTATGATGCAAGAAAGTGGCCCAGTTTCATTCTTCTGCATGTAGCTGACCAGTTTTCCCAGGACTATTTGTTGAAGAGACTGTCTTTTTCCCATTGGATATTCATTCCTCTGCTGTTGAAGATTAATTGACCATATACTTGTAGTTTTATTTCTGGGTTTTCTACTCTGCTGTATTGATCTATGGTACCATATATACCAATAGATCAACCAGTACCATACTGTTTTGATTACTATAGCTTTGTAATATAACTTGAAGTAAGGAATTGTGATATTTCAAGCTTTGCTTTTCTTTTTCAAGGTTGCTTTGGCTATTCAGGGTCTTTTGTGGTTCCATACAATTTTAGGATTCTTTGTTCTATTTCTGTGAAAAATGCTATTGGTATTTTGATAGATTGCATTAAATGTGTAGATTTCTTTGGGTAGTATAGACATTTTAACAATATTTGTTCTTCTAATCATGAGCATGGAATGTCTTTCCATTTCTTTGTACCATTTTCAGTTTCATCAGTGTTTTATAGTTTTCAAAATACAGGTCTTTTACTTGGTTAAGTTTATTCCTAGGTACCTTATAATTTTTGGTGTAATTGTAAATGGGATTGTTTTCTTAATTTCTTCCTGCTGCTTCATTATTAGTGTATAGAAACGCAACAGATTTCTGCACACTGATTTTGTATCCTGTGACTTTACTGAATTCATTTATCAGTTCTAGTAGTTTTTTGGTGGTCTTTAGTGGTTTCTACATATAGTGTCATGTCATCTGCAAATAGTGAAAGTTTTATTTCTTCCTTACTGATTTTGAGGCCTTTTATTTCTTTTTGTTGTCTGATTGCTGTGGCTAGGACTTCCAGTACTATGTTGAATAAAAGTGGTGAGAATGGTTATCCCTGTCTTGTTCCTGATCTTAGGGGAAAAGCTCTCAGTTTTTCCCCATTGTGTATGATGTTTGCTGTGGGTTTTTCACATAAGGCCTTTATTATGTTGAGTTATGTTCCCTCCAAACCTGCCTTGTTAAGGGTTTTTATCATGAATGGATGTTGTACTTTGTCAAATGCTTTTTCTGCATCTATTGAAATGATCATATAGTTTTTATCCTTTCTCTTATTAATGTGGTGTATTATGTTGATTGATTTATAAAAACTGAACCACCCTTACATCCTGGGAATAAATCCCACTTGATTGTGGTGAATGATTTTTTTAAATGTATTGTCGGATTTGGTTTGCTAGTATTTCATTGAAGATTTTTGCATCTATGTTCATTGAGGCTATTGACCTATAGTTCTCTTTTTTGTGTGGTGTCTTTATCTGGTTTTGTTATCAGGGTAATGGTGGCCCCATAGAATGAATTTGGAAGTCTTTCTTCTTCTATTTTTTGAAATAGTTTGAGAAGAATAAATATTAACTCTTTGTTTGGTAGAATTCACCTGTGAAGCTGTCTGGTCCTAGACTTTTGTTTATTGGGAGATTTTTGATTACTGAATCAATTTATTGCTGGTAAACAGTCTGTTCAACTTTTCTATTTCTTCCTGCTTCAGTTTTGGTAGGTTATATGTTTCTAGGAATTTATCCATTTCTTCTAGGCTCTCCAATCTGTTGGCATATAATCTTTAATAATATTCTCTTACAACTGTTCGTATTTCTGTGGTGCTGATTATATCAAAAGAGATGTTGATAAACATTTTAAAAATTTCCTGTGACATGTAAGACTCTAAGGGTTAAATTTCACAGTCGCCAATAACCCTTTGGTGGTAAATGAAGAAGTTTTTCTGATGCAATTATTTTCCATATTTTCAAGAAAATATGAAACATTAACTTACCCAATATAAAAAACAATAACAAAATTTATAGTGCTACCAATACACTCATGAAGTGCATGCAACCTCACGAAATGGGTACTATGTCATCCTCATTTTTACAGATGAGTCAACTGAGACCAGAGAAATGTAACCCATAATAATATGGGAGCTAGAAAGAAAAAGGTGGGTGGCTGTAAAATGGGAATTAGAAAAGTCTAACTAGCCTGATGCTCTGACCACAGAGGTCTTCTCAGACAAATCAGTTTTAGGCAAAGGATGAGGATCTTAAAAATGATTCCAGAAAATATCCAATAGCTGCATAATATTCTTTAGAAAATCTTCATGTACCTCCAAGGATGTGGGACAGACTCCCTTCAAAGATTGTTGTGTTAGACCAACAGTGCAAAAGCATGGGATCTGGAAGGGGCAGCACTAATTTTGTCCACTTCTTAGACTCTGCTTGAATCAAACATGCTTGGTGAGCTGTGACTTTGTCAAGTTAAAACATGTGTAGTCCATGTAAGTGTATTCCATGATGAAAATTAAGTAATGATGCTTCCAAACTGCACACACATTCCAGTTGCTGGGAGTAGCAAGATACTCACAGCCTAACCATGTGAATTAATCACAAGCTAAATTGTTTACCGTGCTTTTTTGCCTTTCCATCTTCCTCTATGTTGAGGTGTTCATTGCTTTGAGTCATTTGTTGTTTTTCTTTGGAAATCAAAATTTTTATTTAAATGATATGCCTGGTAATATTTTAATAACTTCATTGAAATAGAATATACATACCTTATGGTTCACTTGTTTAAAATAGATGCCAGTGGGGGTGCCTGGCTGGCTCAGTTGGTTAAGCGTCTGCCTTCAGCTCAGGTCATGATCCCAGGGTCCTGTGATGGAGCTCTGTAGGGCCCCCTGCTCAGCAGCGAGTCTGCTTTTCCCTCTCCCCCTGCCACTCCCCCCACCCATGCTCTCTCTCTCGCTCTGCGCTCTCTCTTAAATAAATAAATAAATTCTTTAAAAATATAGATGTCCATGATTTTTATTATATTTACAGAGCTGTAGTTGGTGAACCCTTTCACTATGCAGATTCAAACCTTCTCTGTTGTTCTTTTACTTCCTCTCATCCATCTCTTTGTTTTTTCTCTGTTTTGAACCTTATTACTTGCATGTTAGTCTTCCTGAATTTATTCTCCAAGTGACTTCTATTTTCTGGGTGATTTTCATCTCTGTATTGTTTTGTATAATTAAGCTATTTTTCCCACTTGCTCTTCCAGGTTACTAATTTTATCACAACAGTGGCCAGGTTCTTTCCATTTATCTATTACAATTTTAAAGATTTTATTTTATTTATTTATTTGAGAGAGAGAGCACAAGAGGCGGAAGGGTCAGAGGGAGAAGCAGACTCCCTGCTGAGCAGGGACCCCCCCCCCGTTGCGGGACTCGATCCCGGGACTCCAGGATCATGACCTGAGCCGAAGGCAGTCGCTTAACCAACTGAGCCACCCAGGCGCCCTATTACAATTTTAAACTTGAAAATTCATGTTTACAATTTTTAATTATCTAAATGGATTCCCTTGCCTGACTTTCACAGTATGCTTTCCACTCTTTACACAGTGTGAGGCACCTTTTCAGGCTGCTCAACTCAGCTTTTCCTTCTGGTGCTGAATCCCTTTAAGTGAAATGGTGATGATGATGGGCCTGCATAGGGCTTAGCATAGCCTCATTGATTAGGATCAACTGATTTGCTCACACTAGAGAAACCCAGTAAGTATTGGAAGGCAGAGCAGTTTCCACTGCTACAAGTTGGGGTGAATCCCCCAACAAACTACTAATCCTGTCTGAGGGCTCTGTCCCCGATGGGATTTCTCTCACTGCCTTGTGGATTTGGAGCAACTCAACCTTCCAAAGTAGCTCCCCTCTGTCCTTCAAGACCTGTAGGAACAGGTAGGCTTCACCCCTGCACCCATGAAAGAGATGTTCAGCCCTTCTGGGAGGGGACTCATGAGAATCACAGACTTTACCACAGGTGTCTCTGCTATGAGCCTCTTGAAAGATTAGACCTTGGCCAGAAGGATTAAAGCTGGAAAGTCTTCCCTTGGTAAAAGGAAACACCCTCTTTCTGCTTCTGAAAGGAGCACTGTGAGAGAGAAAAGTGTCAAATCGCACCTCTATTCTGACAAGTAGGCCAGGTCTAGAGCAAATGTAAATGCCCAAGAAACTATGATTTAGAGTGAACATGCCCTGCCCCACGGCACATGTAATTGCACCTGTCTGTCTCATCATGCTCTGGGTTCTCTATGTAACATGAGATAATCTCTGTGTACCACAGGCCTAAGCAGTGAGCATGTAGAATCCTGGCACCTGCCCTCCCTTCTCATCTCTCCTAATTCAATTCCCCTATCAGTCTGGTGAGTCTCAAAAACACAGTGCTCCTGGGACACCTGGGTGGCTCAGATGGTTAAGCGTCTGCCTTCGGCTCAGGTCATGATCCCAGGGTCCTGGGATCGAGCCCCACATCGGGCTCCCTGCTCGGCAGGAAGCCTGCTTCTCCCTCTCCCACTCTCCCTGCCTGTGTTCCCTCTCTCGCTGTGTCTCTCTCTGTCAAATAAATAAAATCTTTAAAAAAACAAAACAAAACAAAAAAAAATCACAGTGCTCTTGCTTGGGGAAAGAAAGATTAGAGAAAGGGGACAGGTAGGAATGAAATCTCTGGATTTTACTGTGGAGATTTTGAATGCCAAGTGGGTTCCAGCATGGAGGTTCTCTCATATAACAGGGAAATTCAACTCGGCGCTGTGGACATTCACTCATGTGCATACACAGATTCGGTCATATATTTTGTTTGTGTTTATTTCTTAGCTAAATGACCGATAGAGTCTCCTCTTTCCACAGTTTAGTAAAAGCAAGAGACAGGGAGTGTCTTCCCCAGGGCTGGCAGAGACCCAAACAAAGCCGGGAGGGGACCCCTGGGGACAAATGAAAGGACACTCAGGTCTCTGGTCTCCCAGGTTGGCTTTCTCCTTGAAGAAGGTAGCACTCTGGCTTCAGGGGCCATTCAGGGCCCATTGTATCCCCTTCTCATCTCCATGGCTATTGAGGATACTGGTCTCCTCCAGAACCGGTTAGAGCTCCAACTAGGCCTGTGGTGGACTCCGTGATTCCCTCCAGGGCCCGTGCCAAGGTTGGGGCCATGGGGGCGGTAGACAGCTGTATCAAAGACGTTTCTCAGGGACAGGGAATTTCTCTAGAAAAAGAAGGGCAAATCATTTCAGAATCATATACCCTTGTCCCGAGCTTTAACATGGACTCCTTCTGGAATCTTCTTCCCCTTCATATCATCTCCTTCACCTAGTACTCCTTCCTCTAGACTTTATTCCTTCTTTTGGTCTTCTTTTCCCTCAGCACATTGATTGACTCTTCCAGTTCTAACTTGCTACTTCTCTTTAGTAACATTCTCCTGATCTTTCCTTCCTTCCGACCCACCCCCCAACTTGGTGGCCCTCCTATTCATACCCCATTTCCTTATGTTCCTGCGACTCCTTCCCCCAGACACTTTCCTACATATTAGGCACTCACCACACAGATGAAAAGCCCAGCAAAGAATCCCACAGCCACTACAACCGAGACCAGAGTAATGAGGAAGATTTCCCAAGGTTTCAGGGACCCACTGGGTGTCACTTCATTCACTGGAGTGGTAGCACTCGTGCTAACACTATTGGAGGTTGTGTGTGTTCCAGTTAGAGAATGTGTGCTAGAGCCTCCTGTGATTGCATTGGATGCAGTGTTGGCAGCTGTCCTGGTCCCACTGGAAGTCACACTGGATCCAGTGTTAACAGCTGTGCTGGTCCCACTGGAAGTCACACTAGATCCAGTGTTGGAAGCTACACTGGTCCTGCTGGAGATCACACTGGGTCCAGGGTTGGTAGCTGTGCTGGTCCCACTGGAGGTTGTGCTGGATCCAGTACTAGAGACTATGCTGGTCCCACTGGAGGCTGTACTAGAACCAGTATTAGCAGGCATGCTGGTCCCACCAGAAGTTGTACTGAATCTAGTGCTGGAGGCTATACTGGTCCCACCTGAGTTTTCACTGGATCCAGTGTTCATAGGTGTGCTACTACCTCTGGAGGTTGTGCTGGATCCAGTGTTGACAGGGGTGCTGGTCCCTCCAGAGGTTGTGCTAGATTCAGTATTGGAGGTTGTGCTGGGCCCACCGGAGGTCACACTGGGTCCAGTTTTGGTGGCTATACTAGTCCTGCCAGAGGTTGTGCTAGACTCAGTATTGGAAGTTGTGCTGGGCCCACTGGAGATCACACTGGATTCAGTGTTGGAGGCTGTACTGGTCCCATCAGATGTGCTGGATCCAGTATTGGCAGCTGTGCTGGTCCCTCCAGAGGTTGTGCTGGATCCAGTACTGGAGGCTGTATTGGTTCCCCTACTTGTTCCACCAGAGGCTGTGCTGAATCCAGTGTTGACAAGTGTGCTGGTCCCTCCAGAGATTGTGCTGGATTTAGTGTTAGAGGTTGTACTGGTCCCACTAGAAGTTATGCTGTGTTCAGTCTTGCCTGCTGTGGATGTTTCACCTGCTGGTAATCATAAATGATGACAAACACATAAGGAGCATAAGTATTTTCTGGTTTAATGCTTGTTTAAATTCATTACATGGGTAATTCTATTTGATGCTCACTACAGCCCTATGAACTAGATACTATTATTATCAACAGCTAAGATGAAGAAATTGAGGCTTAGAAATGTTAACATTTGCCCTTATTTATGCAGATAGTAAGTAGTAAGGAGGAATTTGTACTTAGGGTACTGGATCTGCACTTTCAGCTACCATGCTAAATTGCCTTCCCCACCCAGCCCCAATACCAGGGTTACATAACCTAGTTCCACTGGTAGTAAGCTTATTCCATATTCTACTATATAAGATCCAATACAGATAAGAAGTATTATAAAGGAATTGCAAAGCCCTGTGAAATTAGTATATATTGATTAATTCATTCTTAAAGTAGTATTGCTCCCTTCCAAGAAAATACTTTTCAGTGTTATTCAGAAAACATCTACATCTGAATTGTCTGAGTAGCTTGTTAACAATAAAGGCAAACCATTCTAAATTAAATGAATCAGATTTTGAGATGTGACCTTCCAACAAGGGCTGGGTGAGTTTATATGCTTTCAATTTCCAGGGGCTCCTGATGTCTATGGCAGAGGCTGGAGAAGCACAAGTCATATGTAGCTTAAAAGTATTAGATCTCCCAGGATAAAGGGCTGTAAGGTATAGGGAATCTTTTCAACCTTCTTGGAGACTCAGACAGAGTTAAGGTTGTGTCTGTTTTTTTGCCCCTCACAACACTGAAGGACAAAGATACTCAACCTCCCCCAGATAACCAAAATTAATTTGTGGCTCCTTTTACCACTAACTGGAACTTGGGTGCCTATCAATTCATTCCACACATGTGTATTTTTTCCTTGGGCTTGACTGAACTAACATAGGGTTAGAGTTTTAGCTCTATTTTGGGAAGGCCCCCCATTATCAGCTGTGTGGTACAAATAGGCGTTAAGATCAGAATCTTGAATAAAACCTAAAAGAAACTGAAATGACCAAGAGTAAGAATGACACCACAGTCAAAGCTTCCCATTCTTAGTAGTTAAACCCCCAGCCAACCACACAGGTTATTATCATTTTATAGATGCAGAAACTGAGGCACAGAGAAATTAAACAACTCACCTGAAGTACGCGCACACTCTTACAGTGGAGCCATGATCCATACACAGGCAATCTGAGACCAGAGTCTACAGTTTTAACCACTGTGCTCTGACTGCCTCCTGGGTGATACCTAATTAGACTGAAGTGATTGGGGTAAAACAATGATCCCCACTCTATGGAAGAGAACCAGAGCTGGTCCTAGCAGTGGTCAGCATCTCCCAAAGTACCTTGAAGGTTCTCAGATCACCCACTTTTAAAGGAAATCACTTACCAGTTTCTAAAAGTAGGAGATGCAATAGTAACCAATACTTAAGGAGGATGTTTCTTTTCTGCATCTTTATCTGCCTCATTGTTGGAAAGTATGATGCTCGAATCCCAGCTGTGGCCAAGATCTAGAAGGCGAAGAACAGGATTCTTGAAAAAGGAGAGTTCAAGGTGAAAAGATAAAGACTGGAGCTTCCAGGAGCTTGGGTCTCCTAAGTACTTGTTCTTGGGAAGAACTTTGAACTTGGGTAGAAGACTGGAAGCCTGGGTTCCTTAAGCTTCCTCCATGCAATGTTATTGCCTTTTTCTTTATTATGGAAGAGCTGCAGGGACCTTTATAGCTTCATATGTGTTGGGGAGGGGTTGGGAAGTTGACTTGTTCTTCTGCCAACTATGAGCAGTTAAAAAACAATACTGAGCTTGAGAAGGAATAGACTAGGGTCAAGAGGAAGGTGAGAAAGGAGAATGACATGATCACACTAGGCAGGGCACTGGCCTGGCTGGATCAGAGCAGGAAGTCAAACGGTATGAGGAGATCAAATTTGTCAGAGTGGAAGGGACCCACCCTCTAAGGCAGGGATGGGGCCAGAAACCTGTTGTACTGCAAGACTTTGTTTCCTGGTCAAGAAGTTCTGTGTGCCCGCTTTGGTAAGGAGTGAGCTTAGTGGGTGGTACCCTACATCTCTGAAGCAAATGGAAATAGGAGACTCAAAAGAGAGCAGTAACTAGGGGTCTGGGCTTCTGGGTTATAGGCAGAAGACAGATGGAGCATTGCTGGGTATGCAGTAGGCACTCAACAATGTACATTGAATAAAGAGGGGAAGAGAGATCCAGGGGTTGATGAAGCCATCTTTGGGGTCTCTGGGGCATGAGGGCTGAGGGCATGGGGAGTATTGAATGTGTAGAAGAAGCCATCTGTCAGACTTATAGCAGGTGAAGGGGTGGTATAGGGTCCCCTTCTGATCCTCCACCATAGGAATTTCCCTCTTGTTTGTTTTCAGAGAAATCTGCCGGACCTTTTCTGCCGGAATCCTTCAGATGCTCCTTCTCATCAGCCTAATGAAGCATCTCTCAGTAGGGTATACCACAGATAACACATTAGGAGACTTCAAGTCTGTTGGGGGAGGGAGACATATAGTCTTCAAGTCCTTTAGAAACTTCATGCTGGTCTGGACAATGTAACAGCAAAGGACACACAGTCAACTAAACAAGTATGACTGAACAGACCCAAATGAGCAAAGGGTTTTGGGAGTTCATGGGGAAGGCATCTTGTGGTCAGGGCCAGGGGGTTGATAGATGGGAGTTTCAGTGCACAGTCTGTGTGACCAAAGTCAGCTGTCTTCATTACTGTTAATGAGAAGCTTTGTGGAAGAAGCAATATCTCAGATAGTTTATTTGTGGGTGAATGAGTATTCCCGACATTTAAGACCTGTTTGAAAGAAGCAGGAGGTAGCTGGAGACATGAAGGAATTTATGAGTGAGTCTGAGAGTCAGGAGGGGACGGAGTGTGCTGGAAAAGGCTAATGCAGATCTGCCTAGCGGCTGTGAGGCTGAAGCAGTTCCTGAGGCTGAAGTGTGAGGAACCATTCAATGACTGGCTGGGCTTTAGACTCCTAGCAATTGCATTTTATGGCTGACAGGCCAAAAGCACTCTAAGAAATACTTTTTTTCTTCTTCCCTCTAGAATTATTTGGAGGCAGAGGTCCTGAATTCAAGTCCAGATTCCACCTTCTAGACATAATCCTAAAATTTTTTTGCATGCATACTTATCAGAGACTATATATAATTAGTATCTTTACTGTCCTTCAAAACAACACAAGAACCTTGGAACTTTAATTATTACTACCCAATTCCCAACTCATACCCTAATCTTATCAAGTGTTTTAATTCTGTCTTGGTTTTTAATTTCATGAGAGATTATTGTTCTCTGCTTACACACCATAAGCCAGAACATAGTCATACAGACAAAATAAGCTGAGAGACTGGAGAATATGGTGAGTAGCCGAGTGGGCATGTGCTTGACTAAAACTTGAGAATATGATTGTTAAAGATGGAGAATGGTTATTAGTGGACAATCAGAAAGCTATGACACACATTTAAACCTACGTGCTTTATATTCTGTATTTAATAATTCCAATACCTCCAGTTTTTGTGGATCTGATCCTGCTGTATTGTGTTTTGTTTCTTGCTGGCTTTCACTGATGCTTTATGACTGAGATGGTTTTACTAGAGGTTTATGGCTGAGTTTATTTTTCTTGTGATGTTATCTGTAGAAGTACTTTGAAGCCTAAGATGAGGGCATGATCTTCCACAGAGAATTTGCATGTTTTGGCCAAGCATATGGATGCATTACCATTTGAGGATTCTCATAAATTAAATGATAGGCTTGAGGTCTTTTGAATAACCCATGATTTGGAACTGCAAACCATGTAAAATATTGTTAGTTACTGTAAAACTAACAATTGTAATAATAAGTTACAAATAACTTGTAACTTGTGGTTACAAGTTATTTCTCAAGAGATAATTCCTTCTCTCCTCCCTCCCCCTTTACAAAGTTTAGAGGCAGGTGATTTTGCTTGCATTTCCTTAGAGGAAGAGTGGGTTTATTTTTAGTTTACACTCCCTGAAGGTTTCCAGTTTATGGGAGGGTCTACTGCAAGAGTCCCCACCCACGCTGGTCTGACTGAGGCTGTACTACTTGAAGATTAAGTTCACTGGGTTTGGCAAATGTTGACTTGACTTAACTTAGTCTTTAATTCTAGCATTCCTTACTTTTCCACCAACTCATTGATTCATTTAAGAAGATATTTTAAAAAGTCATCTATAGTCATCCATTCCCATTCAAGTACTGCCTAGAAGTTGACAGCATTGTGTATTTTAAGGCAGATGTCTCGTTTTAGAGAAGATGGATGCCCTGGTTATTAAAGCTGATTTAATCAATAAAATCCACATATTATCAAACAAAAAAAAAGATATATTAGTCCACCATTTTAAGTTTTTCAGGGTATTTTAAGTCAATGCACCTAGAGCATCACAGAGCCAGAAATTTAAGTTCTCACTGGATTGTTTTGAGAAAAAAATGATAGTGTATTTAAAAGCACTAGCATGGTGTTTGGCACATAGTAAGCATGGAATTATAAAGGGCAAAGGAAAAACAGAAAGAAAAACATAAAAACATACATATATAGTGGCCAGTGTATTTTAGGATTTCAATTTGTACCACATCCCAGTAATTTTCTCCTTATTGTCACATGGCATTTGGAAGAGACAAAGAAGGAGGGAAGAAGAATCTTCCCAAAGATGAAGGAGACCTGGAAAACAATGAGTGGTTCTAAGATGGTTTCCTGTCTACCTAGTTTGTATGATTTGAAGCTACAAACCTAGACAGATATTAACTACACTTAGTGTGGTGATCATTTCCCAATGTGTACAAATATCGAAACATTATGTTGTACACCTGAAATTACTATCATATTATATGTCAATTTTACCTCAAAAAAGGAAGGGAGGGAGGGAGGAAGGGAGGAAGGACGAACATCAGATTTTGGTGAAAATCTGGCTGCCAGCTGGTGTTTGCCGAATGCCCATTTGTGTACCTCTCACCAATCAACTCCGTAGTCAGGATTTCTGTCTTTCTCTCTCTTGCAGTCTTTATATCATGCTATGTGAGAAAGTAAAAACCAGACTGAGAAAGTAACAGTCTGCACTGCCATTCCTCAGGCTGGGATGACGACATGGGTAAAGCCAGCTGCAAGGTTCACAGGAAAATATTTTCCCCAAAGACACACTGCAGTTGTAAACCTTCATAACAACTCCCTTCTTTCAGTGACTTACTCACTCAGTGATTTTGTCAATGAAAAATGGGATTCTCTAAACTCATAGACTATCACAAGTTTCCTGTTTGAAATTATATTCGTTAGAAGCAAATAGCCTATTCTTGTCTGGAGAATCTGTTACTTTAACACACAGAAGCAGCTTCAGTTTCCAACCCAGGGGCAGATAAGAGTTTCTGAATACAGTAGACTCTTGAGCAACATGGGTTCAAACTCTGCTGGTCCACTTATACACTGAAGTTTTTCAATAAATACAGTATAATACTGTAAACGTATCTTCCCTTCCTTAGAATTTTCTTTTTTTAAGATTTTTAAAAATTTTTGTTTATTTGAGAAAGAGCACGAGCAGAAGAGGGGCAGAGCACAAGCAGGGGGGAGGGGGAGGGGAGAGGGAGAAGCAGGATCCCTGCTGAGCAGAGAGCCCAATGCAGGGTTTGATCCCAATACCCCGGGATCATGACCTGAGCCAAAGGCTTAACTGACTGAACCACCCAGGTGCCCCTAGAATTTTCTTAATAACATTTTCTTTTCTCTAGCTTACTTTATTGTAAGAATACAGCATAATACATATAACATACAAAATATGTGTTAATCAATTGTTTGTTATTGGTAAGACTTCCAGTCAACAGTAGGCTATTAGTAGTTAAGTTTTTGGGGAGACACAAATTACACAGATTTTTTTACTGTGAGGGATGTCAGTGCCCCTAACCTCCACGTTGTTCAAGGGTTGAGTATAATAGCATTCCCCATCTACTGTAACTTTGTTGTCTCCAAGGAAACTGAGTCCACTTCACATTCTGGAGCTCCTGTTGACCCTTCTACTCATCCTGCTTTGTTTTAAGCTTACTAATACTCTGCTGCATTTAACTTTTAACTCTGCTGCATTTAACCCAAACTTTTAACTCTGCTACTTTTAACTAAAACGCCACACTCCCCCAACACTATAATGACTGTTTTCCTTAGTTTGGTTCAAAGCTCCTTAGTCCTACTCTGGTGTACAGTCTCTCTTGTTGCAATGAGCCGATAAAGCTGATTTGTGAGGCTAGAGGTATGCTCCTGATGCTCTTATGTTGACTGGGCTAGGATGTATGTGACTCTCCACACATTGCTCTCTAGTTCTGAACATCCTAGTGGTCCTATTCTCATTATTCTATTCCTACTCATGATCCATCATGTAATTAGTTCTTCCATCTCTTCTCACAGTAACTTACCAGGAAAAAACGCAGTCCCACTAACACCAATACCCACCACAACTACAGCCAGAGAGATGAGGATGATGCCCCAGGGCTGCAAATATCCACTTGGCTTAGTCCCATATTGGCATTTGGCTCATAGTAACTGTCTCTATGCCCGTGGTGACTGAGTCTATTTTTATGTGAGGTGATACTGCTTCCAGGAGTGGTGGTTGGCTCCTGGGCAGATCTCATCCCAGTGTTCCTGGTATTTGGAACAGAGCTGATAGATGGTGCTCCAAAAGTGGATGTGCCCAGGTCTGAGGTATTGGGTCCATCTCACGGACAATATTCCTGGTAGCAGGGGATATGGAGTCCATTGCAGGGGCCATCGTGACAACATGGGGGTGGTTGGTCTGGTTCCAGTGGTCTAGGTGCCTAGGAAACAGATCACATAATATGATGCATTTGTAGTGACAATAATTAAAGAGGAGGCAGGTGTACTTAGAGCAGAGGGATTGATCTAACACAGTAATGGTGGTGGTGGTTTGAGAAGAGCTGTTGTGGTGGGAGGAGAGATGGTGGAAAGTGATTCACCTGAAACCATGAGGGCCTCAGAGAGAGGTGAGTGTCTTAGAGAAGAGGAGGTAGGCTCTGTCCACGGGTGGTGCTGGTGATGGTGGAGACTAAGATTGAGGAAACGTGACTGGGAGTGATGTATTCAATTTTAGAAGTGATCACCCAAATAGGGAGGGTAGGCTGGGATAAGAGATAGGGTCTGATATTCTTATAATGTACTCACTGGGTATAAGGACATTGCTAGAGGAAGGGATGATGGGATCAGATTTACTGAGGGGTGAGACAGTGGCCACGGCTGGGAGCACAGGTGACATAATCTCACACAATCATGGTGGTCAACAAAGATGAGGTGAGTGTGCTCAGAACATATGTGGAAGAACCTGACCACAGGGAGGAGGCTGGCCCTAGGGAAGGAGAGGCTGGATTCAGAACAAGGCGGGAGGACCTAATACACAGAGCAGGTGGCATCAGCAGCAAGGGTTGTGCTTAGCCTGGAAGTGGTTACACTGATACAAGAACAGTGTCAGTCACTGGAATAGCACTGGGTAGCTCAGGACAAAGTGGGTAGAATCACATCCAACATGAGTGCTGATGGCAAGTGCAGAGGTGGTTTTATTCAGAGTATGTGCCAGAGATGAAAAAAATCATTTTTTGGTCTTAACCAAACTTGGAGCAAGGGTTGGCAAACACCTTCTATAAAGGGTCATCAGATGTGAATTTTTAAGCTATTTGGGCCGCAAAGTCTCTGCCACGAGTATGCAAAGTAGCTGGGGAGCCGCTATAGATATAAAGGAGTACGTGTGGCTATGTTCCAATAACACCTCATTTGGGAAAACAGGTAACAGGCCAGATTTGGCCCATGAAGTGTAGTTTGTAGTCCCTGGACCAGGGCTCAATATATTGAAGATGGGATGGCAGTGTCACAGGTGGTGGACGGAACAGAGCTGATTGTGCTTGGCACGGAAATGACAGCATCTGACAAACTAGGGTGTTTGTCACAGAGTTAAAGTGAGTTCCCTCTAGGCAGAAGTGATGGAATATAATTAATGTGTGTGTGTGTGTGTGTGTGTGTGTGTGTGTGTGTGTGTGTGTTGGGGGGAGATACTTACAAAGAAGTGTTCCTGATTAGGTTGGAAATGATGGACACTGGACAAAAGAAGGTGAGAACAGAGTAGAAATAAATAGGATTCAAGAAGAGAGAACAGAAGTATATCTAACAGGAGTGATGGCTTGACTAGAGTCTAGAGCAGAAATGACAGAAACAGGCAAAAAGGCGATGGTTGACACTGGAGGTAAATGTGTGTGCTTAGAGAAGATGTGGTGGTCAGTACCTGATACAGCTATGTTGGTGATAGACTGAGTAGAAAAGTCAATGGCCTTGATGGGCACCAAGGTGATAGAAGAGACCGTGAAAGGTCCAGAGATCCTGGTAGAGACTGTGGGGACCCCAGAGGCAGAGTTAGAGGCCAAGGTGGGTGATGAGGCCAAAGCTAAAGATGTGGTGACCTCTGAGGCTGTGGTGGGTCCAGAAGGTGAGGTGCAAGCTTTGGTGTCCCCAGAATCTGTGGAAGAAAATATCGTGGGCCCAGATGCTGAGAAGGAAACTGTGGGGCTCTTAGAAGCTGTGGTTGAGACAGTCAGGGTCTCTGCAGATGCTGGAATTATTGTGGAGGTCACAGATTCTCCAAGTGTCACAAAGACTTTAGTAGATTCTGTCATTGCCTCAGAGGCTATGGTCAAAGCCACAGTGCTGTCAGAGAGATCAGTCCAGATCTTAGTGGTCTCAGCAGTGATGGTAGATGCCATGGTGGTCTCAGAGAGGTGGTGGTGGAGGCCATGGTAGTCTCAAAAACTGTGTTCTTAGAGACTGTTGTGGGCCCACATGTAATTGTGGAAGCCATGGTGGTCTCAGAGACCTTGGTAGAGGCCCCAGAGACCTCAAAGTCTGGGATAGAGGCTGTCATTGGCACAGATGCTGTAATGCTGGACTTGAGGGCCTCAGAAGTTATTTCAGAGACTGGGATAGTTGAAGAACTTATGGTGATTTCAGAGGCTATGCTGAAGGCTATGGTTGGAACGGACATTGTGGTGGAGGATGTGATTATCTCAGAAGCTGTGCTGGGAGCACTGGTGGTCTCAGAGGCTGCACTGATGAGTATGGTGGGTACAGATGTTACAGAAGAACCCAGAGTGATCTCAGAAGCCTCAATGGAGATGATAGTGGTCCCAGCAGTGATGGTGGAGACCATGGTGGTCTCAGAGGCTGTTGTGTTCTTAGAGCCTGTGGTAGAAGCTATGAGGAGCAGAGATATTATTGTGAAAAACGTGGTGGTCTCAGGGACTATGCTGAAGGCCACAGTGGACTCAAAGGCTGTAGTAGAGACTGTCATGGGTAGAGATGCTTTGGTGGAGGATCTGGTGGTATTAGAAGTGGTGGGAGGGACCATAGTGGAGTCAGAATCTCTGATGGTCTCAGAGGCCTGTGATGGCTTCAGAGGCTATGGCGAAGAATGTGGTGGGCACAGATGCTGTGGTGGTTTTAACAGGTCTTTCAGCAGTTGTGGAAGGCACAGACTCTACAGCTGTGACAGAGGCTTTAATGGAAACCTTAGTCATCTCTGAGGCTGTGGTAGTGGCCAGAGTGTTCTCCAAAGCTTCAGTGGAAACAAAAGTGTTCTCAGCATTGGTGGTGGAGGCCATGGTGGTATTAGAGGCTCTTGTGGTCTTAGAGCTTATTTTGGGGGTAGTCATGGGCCCAGGCATTATTATGGAAGACATGGTTTGGTGATCTCAGAGGCTATGATGAAGAACGCAGTGGATTCAGAGACTGGGGTGGTCTCAGAGGCAGTGTTGGAGAAAGTGGTTGGCATAGACATTGTAGTGGAAGGTGTGATGATCGCAGGGGCTGTAGTAGAAGCTATGGTGGTGTCCAAACTTATGGAGTTTTCAGAGGCAGAGGAGGAGGCCATTGTGGGCACAGATATTAATGTGGAGGGCATGGTGATCTCAGAGCCTGTGGTGGACACAGATTCTGCAGTGGTATTTGAAGCTGCAGTGAAATCTGTGGTGGCCCTAGGATCTCTGGTGATTTCAGAGGTCAGAGTGAAGACTATGGTGGGTACAAATGTCATCATGGAGGAAGCGGTGCTCTCAGAGGCTGTGATGGACACAGATGTTGTGGTGGTCTCGGCAGTTATTGGGAGTGACTAAGGAGAGCACAGACTTAGCAATTGTCACAAGGGCTTTTGTGGAAACTGTAGTGGTATCAGAGGCAGTGTTAGAGGTCATGGTAGGTACAGATTCTGTGGTGGAGGGCGTGGTAGCCTCAGAGGCTGTGGTGATGATTGTGGTGGTCTCAGAAGCTGTGGTGGAGACCGAGATGGTCTGAGAGGTTGAGTTGCTCTGAGGCCTGTGGAGGAGTCCATTGTAGAGACATACTCTGCGGTGGCCCCTGAGGCTGTGGTTGTCTTGGTAGTGTGCCCAGAAGCTGTGATCAAGGACGTGGAGGGCTCAAAGGTGGCAGTGGGCCCAGGACCTATAATCCTCCCTAAAGTACATTAATTTTTATTCAGGAATAATAGCACTCACTTTCGCATTTCTTTTAAAGATATTTTTTTAAGTAATCTCTATGTCAAATGTGGGGCTTGAACTCACAACCCCAGATCAAGAGTCACACACTTGGGGCACCTGGGTAGCTTAGTTGGTTAAGCGTCTAACTTCAGCTCAGGTCATGATCCCAGGGTCCTGAGATTGAACCCTGTGTGGACTCTGTGCTCAGCAGGGCATCTGCTTCTTTCTCTCCCTCTGCCCCTTCCCCTGCTCATGCCCTCTCTCTTTCTCTCTCTCATATAAATAAAGTCCTAAAAAAGAAAAGAGTTGCACGCTCCACTGACTGCTGTGCTGAGCAAGCCAGCCAGGCGCCCCCACTTGTGCACTTTTTTATGTTTAATTAGGAGCCTTGCACATACCTGTCATTCTTGTTTCTGTTGAGTCAGCAGAACTATGGTACCCAGACTGTAGTTAACCCTGCATGTGGAAGCATGTACCTTATAGAGTGCAGCTATGGTAGTTCTCTCCTCTCCTCTTCTTTTTTTTTTTTTTTCTTTTTATGCGGATGCCATGGGCATGACTGCTGACTCAAATGTTCTCTTGAATGAATGAATCATTTGATCAATCACCTCTGTATTTTCTTCTTTCCTCAAGAATTTTACTAATCAGGGTCCTCAGTTTTTTTGTTTTTGTGGGGTTTTTTGTCACTCTATTTGCCTAGGTGAATCTTCTTATTTAACCCATGCTAAGGAGGCAACACAAATAGAAACTGCATATCATCTCTCTAACACTAAGGATTGTTGGAGCTCAGATGAAGGAGAAAATGTGTTGTTTGAAAACATAGAGATCATGTGGACAGATCTCCCCAGCAGCATTCCCTTAGCTAGGTGGAAATAAGGAGTAGGTCACACCAAAATGGGAGGGCACTTGAGCAGAGACCCTCAAGTGCAAATCCCCCCTTCACTCTTTGGGACTTGCAGCATACTGTCCCTTCCTGAAGAGAGCCCATGGGTTGTTATGCATGAAATGAAGGCCAGTCAGTCTGTAAATTTTGGATGAGGCCAGATGTTGCAGGCTCTCTTTAGGCAGTCTGGGTCAGAACTAATGTGTTAGGCAGTTAGTAAAAGTTCTCTCAGTAAAGAGACACAGGGAAATGGTAGGGGAAGATCCTTGGGATGATGCCTTTCTTTCCTTTATTTAATTTTTAGTATAAAGTGGTAGAACAATGGTAGCAGTGGGAATGGATTAGAGAAGAATCTAGGAG